GCGCCTACGTATGAAAACGACGAACGCGCTACACATGTTGGGTATCGCCGCGCACGCCGGAGTGAGAGCAATAATTCTAGGGCCAGTATTTTGGGGTATCTCTAAATTGATGACCTGTGGGGGCTTTTACTTGAGGAAAGTATTGTTACTTGGTCCGGAAAAAAAAATGGTATCTCTAATAATCAATATTTACAGAATTTTAGAAACCCTGAACATCTGAGTAGAATAACTAATACCTAAATTTAGAACACCAGATGTAAAAAAAAAAACAAAAAAAAACCCATGGGTACAATGAACAGGCTTTTTTCAAAAATGTTCTTGCTACATTTTAAATAATAAACTAGTCACGTAATATACACCAACGACAACTAAAATGAAAAAGAATAAACAATTAGAGATTCCATGATAGAAACCTCAACACTAGTTTGCAATGTCAAAATGAATGACTGAAACATGTTCATGTGGCAGTTCCTATTACACTAAACCAGGAAGTGTAACTCCCACCAGCTTAGGTGTGTATTGTAAATGAATCTACAAGTGAAAAATGTGCACTAGGATGTCATTACAGCGAGAAGTACAATCACTAAACCTGAATGTCATTCACTTCAAAGATGAAATAAAAGATTAGATGGCCAGATTTGTTTCAAGGGAAGAGAGCACTAAAAAGAAGCAGTAACTCACAACAATCTAGGGCTGCAACAACTAATCGACATAATCGATTATTGAAAAAGTTGTCAACTTTTTCAATAATCGATTAATCGGCTTCCGATCAGTTGGCCTTGTTCACAGCTCCACACGCTGTGCGCCGCACCTCCTCCCCACCTCACGCTCGCCGCTGCCAGACCCGCTCGCATCCACGCTCCACACACCGCACCTCCTCCCCGCCTCACATTTCCTGCCCATCCACGATCGGCAAGGCACGCGGGGAGATGTAGTAAGGAACAGGGGTGGGGGGATGACAGCCGCTGATAGACAGGTCCGATCTCAGAAGCAAGTTGCTGGAAGACTGCTCAGGTAAGCCTGCACTTCCCTTCCCCCACATGGTGCTCTATAATGTATTGCTGGGATTTGTATTCCTCTATAGCTGATGGTACATTGTACTGTATATTATACATAGGAATACAAATCCCAGCAATGCATTATACACTGTATGTATAATGTATTGCTGTGATTTGTTCTCCTCTATAGCTGGTGATATTCTGCATTGCGCTGTATAGAGGACTACAAGTCCCAGCAATAATACATTATACAGCGCAATGCGGAATACCACCAGCTATAGAGGACTACAAAACCCAGCAATAGTACATTATACAGCGCAATGCAGAATACCGCCAGCTATTAAGTACTATTGCTGGTATTTGTTGTATTCCTCTATAGCTGGCGGTATTCTGCATTGCGCTGTATAATGTACTATTGCTGGGTTTTGTAGTCCTCTATAGCCGATGCCATTCTGCATTCATTGCTGTATAATTTTACACTTTCCATTTCACTATATTGCACACCACACTATCTTTTTTTTTTTTTTACTTCCACCGCTCCAAGCTTGCTCCTGTGATGGACTACAACCTCAATACAAACTAGTAGTCCCATCACTGGAGCCATTTTTTAAACTTTATTTTATTGTTTATCCGATTAACCGATTAATCGAACTTAATAATCGGCTAACTAATCGATTTTGAAAATAATCGTTAGCTGCAGCTCTACAACAATCAATGCCTTCTTCTGCTTCCAATACTGAGGAGATTAACAAATGCTGGTTGCCATAGATTACTTCACTTTGACTGACTGTTTTGAAAGTGCTCCGGAATATATATTTGCAACTAGAGGAAAAGCTCTGTGCAAAATAAAAGCTGGCCACACACTGCCGAATGGCCATCAGGACAAAACTTGTGCCTTTTAAACCAAAGTCCATGAACCCATCACACTCCTGACCACTTAGTCAAAAGTCAACTGGTGGGTGCTGCGGTAGTCAATGGATGGCGCCGTCACAATCACGAAGTATAGATGAGACACCGGCACTCCAAATGTGAATGAATAAACGCGTCTTTTATTGATGTGAATGCGGCATATCACATATGTGCAACGTTTCAGGGGTGACGCAGGATCCCCTTCCTCAGACATGTCTTGCCTAAGGAAGGGGATCCTGTGTGACCCCAAAACGTTGCACTTATGTGACATGTCGCATTCATGCCACATCACATTTTTCTTCTTCATGGGTTACAAATTAAAGATAAGGGAGTCATAACCTTAGCATAGCTTTCACCTGAAATTTTGTCAACACCGCCTAATGGTTTAACTGTCTGTAGAATACCTATAATGGTCAGAGACCTCTTTTGGGTAGAAGGCCATAATCTGTATTGGAATTCTTTTTTTTTCCAAGACCAAAAGCCTATTGCTCCTACTGTAGAGACATCCCCCCCCCCCCCCCCCCCCACACACACACACACACACACACACACACACACAAGTACAGTAAAGGGAGTGAGCATAGAAAATGAATTGTGTTACGCGGCAGGATGACCAAGTAAAAAAAAAAGACAAGCTGAAAAGAAAATACAGCTACTACATCTAAGGCCTGGTATATAGAGCTGCAATATATTCCATTTTTGACCTTGGGTTTAGATCTACTTTAATCTTCCACTGACCGTTTTCTTTTGTTTGGTTGCTATGGGTCACAGGCAGATAACTGAGTGATGCCTACAATCTCCACAACAATTCTCTACGTCTGTGTTTCTCAATCTGCAACTGCACTGCTGAGACACCAAGTACTCCACCTGAGCGCAGGGAAAACTACTTGCCAAACAAAGCACCAATGTTGGGACATGACAAAGGTTTGGGAATCACTGCTTGGTGTGACAGTTCTCTTCTCAGGAAACCATAATCAGAGCTTATCTAGTTATAAGAAGGTGTGCCACATCTTACAAACAGTCCTCATATACTTATATTACTCAGAGCTTCCTACACATTCACGTTCTCCATATCTCTAACTCACTAGCTATAGAAACAATTTATTCACGCAATATGAATCTACATTTAGAGCCGGAAGGACTATGAACCTAAAATGCCCCCCTGGGTACACATACCAAGCCAGAGAAGCTTCACTGTATGCTATATTCCCAGGGTTGGTGACGGGCAGAGGATAGCTCTTGGCAAGACCCCGATGACAGCCCCATTAGACAGAGACCAGAATTTCTAACATTAGGCGCTGTGCTACTCACAAGGAGACAGCGTTTTTATATATCAAGATTGAATATATTTAAAGAGCAACTCCCCCATACCTTTAAAATGACAACAAAGTCACCTTTACCTTTAGAAATGTTTAGTAATGACAATTTACAATCAGATCCTTATCATTTCCGGCTTCTTATTCTTTGCATACCTTGTTTAGCTTTCCCTCCTCATTCTTCTCACAGTGGCCATTTTTACTAAGGGCAAATTGATCCATCTCCCTTCATTTCCTGTAACTATGGCACATGTGACCATGCACATCATCTCAGGGGAGGAAAGTGCCTTTCCCTAAGATCTCAATGCTCTGCTGAGGTGATTCATCTCTTAGGCACAGGCTGCATCACTAATGCCCAAGAGGACCAGGAAGTGGAAAAACAGTAAATTATAAGTCAAAGAAAAGTATGTTCATCCAACTAATGAATGTAAGATGATTTCATATCAGTATACAGAGCTCATGCTGATGTGATTTTTAGTGAAAGGGGGTAAAGGTCCGCTTTAAATAAAAGTGTGAACATTATTTGCACTCTGAGCTCCCTTTCTTTGCACAATTCCATCATTTACATATCCACTGTAGAGGTTCAGCAATCCCAACCAGCACCAATGTCTCCACCTGTTACAAGAGTGGAGGAACGTTCGGGGTTCAAGCAAATCCAGCGAGTTACCCTATTTACAGCAGAGGGGAGACCACCTTCTATAAGTTTTATCACATAACGAAGACACTTCATAAGCACTGCATGTTATTGGATATGAAGATTATATGGAGATTTTGAACTCTATGTTGTGGACGCTTGGAACCAATCTACATGACACCCGGGGGCTGTATCCACTACTTACCAAGCAGTACAGCTAAGATTGTCAGACTCAAAAAATTAAACTAATGCCCAATTTTTTTTAAATAGCATTTTAAATCTAGTAGGGAAAGATAAAACCCCATGCAGTTTTTGTTTTTTGGCCCTTGGGGATTTTTCTTCACTTCCTGTCCCAAAAACACAACAGGAAGTTAGTGGACATTTCCCAAATTTAGGGTAATCTCACTCTTAAAACAGCTGTCAATAGAACAGGCCTAGGAAAATCTTCCTGTAATAAAGACCGGTCACTGCTGCTCTCTCTCCTTGTGCAGGGTGACTGGTCTTGTCACCGCCCCCTTCCTGTAGTTTTCTGCAGGTGCCTATAGGGGTGTGGGACATGTTAGGCCACTCCCACAGCTCTGCTCTTTGCACAGGCTACAAGCAGTACAGGGATGATGTCACTGCTACTATTAGAAAGTAATATCAGGGTTTGTAAGGGCATCTGGTGCACACAAAGTGGTCTTACATCCCTTGTGGTTATTGAGGATTATATTTAAATAACAGATTTTGCACCTAGGGTTCAGCTTTGATTTGGGAGGACAGATTTTCCTTCAATGAGGTGCCATAAAGAAAAGGGAAGCGGTGCAACACAAGTACTAGAGGTTTATAAATAGATGTATTTTCCTAGGAGGGTTTAAAACCACTGTAAAAGGGGGAATGCTAATCAGGGCCCTGGGCTCTATGTTCCTGCCATCTCCTAGGCCGGGTGTAGGACGCCGCACTTCCTGATGTGTACAGTGCAGTGTCAGGCCTGTGTGTACAGTCACCGAGGGAGGAGAGCCGGCTCAGGCCTGACACCGCACTGACAGCGGCCTATATATGTAGGAGCTCAGCACTGCGTTCCCCGCCAGGCCCCGGGATACAAAAATCAACCTTCATCACCCACCTCCCCCAACCGGCTCACCATCCCCTCATCCGCCTTACCGTGTGCTCGTGTTCATCCGCCCGCACACCCAGTACGAACACGCACAACAACTGCAGCAGCTGGAGCGGCCTCATCCTGTCCCAACGGCTCGGCACACTCAGCGGCTTTATGTCCCGGAGGCTCGTCTGTTCTCCTCCACTGCTGAACTCACTGCCCGTTCTCCGACACCCGCCGCCTCCTCAGCGGCCGCTCAGCCACGTCATCCGGCCACGGAGCTACAAACCGGAAGTGCCTCACCTCCTGCCAGCATCCCGGAAGTGCACTGTGTGGGGACGGGGTGGGGATACCTGCGCTGCACCTAGATGGCTCAAAAGTGGCACGTCCTGTATTGTCACTGGTAATTAGACTAGAGAGCGGTGTGGGGGGGACGTTCGCTCGGTCTGGACATTTCTACAGCGTTTTAATGTTTGATACGACGTTCACGGTTTTTATACATCCCGAGGTTAGAGTTTTGGAAAAGAGAGGTTGTGGGGAGCAACTATAGTAGGGAGTGTAGTGCCGAAGAGAAAAGTGGCCCCTGAGCACAGCCAGCCTGGTCCTCCCTATACAACCATTGCCACCATTATCCCCAGTGCCTCCAGCTACAACCAGTGTCCCCCATTATCGCCAGTGCCTGCTGATACAAACAGTGTTCCCCATTGCCTCCAGATACAACCAGTGTCCCCCAGTGGCTCCAGATACAACCAGTGTCCTCCATTATCCTCAGTGCCTCCAGATATAACCAGTGCCCCCCATTATCCCCAGTGCTTGCTGATACAAATAGTGTTACCCATTGCCTCCAGATACAACCAGTGTACCCCACTATCCTCAGTGCCTCCAGCTATAACCAGTGTCCCTCATTATCCTCAATGCCTCCAGATACAACCAGTGTCCCCCATTATCCCCAGTGCCTGCTGATACAGTGTTCCCCGTTATCCCAGCGCAGCCACATTGTCCTGCTGGCTAGCTTCCACAGGTGACTGTAAGCAAACGGGACTGCTATTGTTTTTTTTAATTTGAAATAGCCAATAGCAGATGGCTATTGAAACCCCACCCACTGAGCAGAGGAGCTGACCTGAGAGAGAAATTTGTCTTTCACTTGCTTCTCTGCTCAGTCGGTGGGTGCAATAGCCAGCCTGCTATTGGCTTTTGCAATATAAAATGGGCGGGGTGAGTGGCCCAGGCGGCTGCCTAGTCTGCCTAGTTGCAGCGCCGGCCCTGCCTCCAGATACAACTAGTGACCCCCATTATCCCCAGTACCTCCAGATACAACCCATGTCACCAATATCCCCAGTGCCTCCAGGGACAATCAGTGTCCACCTATTATCCCTAGTGCTTTGAGATACCACTAGTGTCCCCATTATCCCCAGTACCTTCAGACACAACCAATGTCTCTCATTATGCCTAGTGCCTCAAGATACAACCAGTGTCCCCAGACAAAACCAGTTTCTCCCATTTTCCCCAGTGCCTCCAGATAGAACCAGTGCCCACCATTAATCCCAGTGCCTCAAGATACAACCAGTGTCCCACAATATCCCTAGTACCTGCAGAAACAACAGGTGTCCAACATTATCACCAGTGCCAGCAGCTATAACCAATGTCTTCCATTATGTCCAGTACCTCCAGATCTAATGCCCTACATTATTCCCAGGGCCCAATACTATCCCTGCTGCACTAAACACAGCCAGCAACTCTCAACGTTTCCATTGTCACCAAAAAAAAACCCACCAGTGAGTGCCTTCATTATCCCTATTGCTCCATAAGTAAGTCAGCCAGTGCCCTTCACAGTCTTTAGTGTCCCTGACAGCCAGTGCTCCTCTTAATCCGTAGTACACCCAAACAGAGCCAGTGACTCTCATGACACCTAATGCCCTCAAACATTGCCAGGACCCTTCACAATCTACCCTTTATCTTGTGCTCAACCACAATCCCCAGGGCTTCCAGACACATTCAGTCCGTGTCCCCCACAACCCACAGTGTCCCCCAAACACAACTAGCCTGTAATTATCCTCATATCCCCTACAGCCACCCAGTGATGCTCCTCAAGATCCTCAATTTCCAGTGCCTAGTTTGCTACTTATGAGGGAGGAACAGGTGAACTAATTTTTTAGAGCCACACAGAATTCAACCACCCACTGCCGCTTTAGGTTTCAAACCACCTGAGGCAGGTCAAAGTTTAGCAAAATTATCTTTGGACAACTGTCTTAGTGGCTGGGTGGCTTTTTGTTTTTGGAGTGGCTGCAATCAGCATATTTTTGTGGTAGGCGCACTAACAGGTCATTAAAAATTAACCTTGCACACCACAAAACACAATAACAGTTGTGTTAATGCAATGCATAGTGTGAATAGGCCCTAAAAGTTAACATACCATATGTAACTGCTGCATACCGTTTTGTCATTGAAAGTGACCTTGTTTTCCTTATAATACTGTTAAATAAGTAGTCTGACTTGCTTCATTTTACCTACCTTTCAGGGACCCCGTGCACTTTGAGACCAAGAGTGTTCTATGATGGAAATATTCTCCAGATATTGTAAATAAGAAGCTGCCTGCCCTCTTCTGCCTCCAATATCTCACTAGTGGCCCATAAAGATGATGATGGCTCCCCTCACTGAACAGTCGTGAAACATTTGGTAGGCAAGCCGAAGCTAACAACCATGGTAGCTAGTCAAATTTTGTGTTATAGGCTGCACAGCACCCTCTGGAATATAGTAAAACATGCAAACAGGTGCCTGCTTTCACTAGCTGCTGCTCATTGAGCAATTTAAAGTGACGTCATTAGCTATTAAAATTGAATTTAGGTCACTTTAGTGTAAATAAAAAAAACAGATTTATTTTCTGTGAACACAAAGGATGACACCATTTCCTCTACTCACACTGGGTGTCTTCTTCCAACTGTAAACAACTGTAGCCAAATCTTGCCAGGTTTAATACATCTGCATTACGTGGCACCTTGGACAGCTCCAACAGGGAAAAAACACATTCAGCATGTATGCCTTAAAGTGATATTAAAGCTTTGTGTGTTTTTTTTATTTTTATAAATAGAAGGCTCATACAACAAGAAATCCTTTGTTTGGCTGCTATGGAGGCACCCATGCGTGCTCATTCCTGGCCATGCCCGCACTGCAGCAGGCCACGCCCCTCCTCTCCGCCCAACACGTTGATTGACGGCAGAAGGTGCCTATGGCTCCTCCACCCTAACTCTTCTCCCGTGCAACCAGGAAGTTCGGACGGAGGATCACTTTGGGGACCGGCGTTGGTGACAAGTGATGCTGACAGGTAAGTGGGGGGGGGACAGGGGACTCAAAAAGGTGACTCCACGAGATGTTGAAAGGTGATGCGAGGAATCTGACACTGCACTGTTGCCCTTCTGTTGTCTTGTACCAGTCTTGCCACTCTCCATTCTGCCCTAACATTGACTAGTCGCTGACGGCCACAATTCGCACGTTTAGACCCAGATTTTCGGCTGACAGTCCAGTCTTTAAACACTTTAACAACAGCTGCTCTTGAACATTTAATGAATTCTGCTGTTTTGCTGATACTCGCTCCATGGCTCCGAGCGCCAACAATCATCCCACGTTCAAAGGCTGTTAAATCGCGTTGTTTACCCATATCTTCAGAAAAAAATCACTTCTACTGTCGTGGTAAACAACCTGCTTTCCTATTTATAATGGTCTGGCCCTCTAGCAACTTCAGCACAAAATTATAGCTAATTTGCCTACAAACGTCAGGTGGTCATAATAATCTGGCCACTCAGTGTATATACAGTTCTGGAAGTCTAAAAACATAATACAATCACACATGCACAGCATGCAAACAGACCATCCCCTCCCCGATGCCTTAATGAATGAATAGGGAGAGAGGAGACACATGTGATGGGATTATCTGCTGAGTGTATCATAGGGTGATCTACTCATCTAGACCCGGAGTCAGCTACTCCTACAGTCAACTATCTTAATCCCATCATCAACACAATAGAACAAAGGGACAAATAAACTCTAACACATTCATTGGGAGTCTCAGTGCATAGTTAACCCTTTTTGTGTTGCTGGATTCACACCCTGCACCTTTAATGGGCAATGGGAAAGATGCAGCATATAAACACCACACATAAAACAGGGTTATTAGTTCCAAGGGGTACACGTACATAGCAATCCTCGGGGTTCCAGGAACAGTCCCTCAAGTCTTAGTTCCATGTAACCCCAAGAGGTCCGAGGAGGGGGTCTCCATATTTCTAGGTACACAGTCAGTAGGGAGGAGGCTAGCCCTCAGGCTCCTCCAGCAGCCTCAGTGACGGTTCAGTCCGTCACAGGTAGTCACTATCCTTCCATTATGTGGGGAATTAGTTATGTGAATGACCCAGGTTTTAGAGTCCTTGGTTGTTCTGGTGGACATCAAATCTTGTATGCACTTACCTGGAAGTTATAAGTACCAGCTTACGTTTTGTTTTGGGACATAGTTTCATTTATTTATTCTGTGAAAAGTATTCTTCAGCTGGGTAAAAGTATTTATATTACCTTTGGAAAAACCATGCACGTTTTTCGACAGAAGCCAATTCTGGTAATTCCCTGACATTCTGTATATGAACACCTTCTGCTGCCAAGATTTACTTTTAGTGAAGTTGTCCTTCAATAAGCCCTCTGAGTGAAGAAAGCAAGCATTAATTTAATTAATTGGCTCTTTTCCCACTCCCTAGATCTATTCTGTGTGGCCATACTTTGTACCATACAGCCTTTTGTAAGCAAATTGTCCCAGTTGGGTCCTCCTTGTGTGCATTTGCACTAAAATTGAAGTTGTCCTTCAGACTATATCTAAAACAATTTTTTTTTGTTAATTTTGGATGTAAGAGTTAAAACCCTTAAGTTTTTTTGTCATCTGGCACCCATTGATGGTAGTTATTTTCACAGTCTTGCTGTTTTAGATATAGAAAGCCTAATAGGCTGAAATACTTAGCTTATCATGATAAAATACTGCTCCAGTTTTCCTCCACTTCTAAAGGGAAGCATAAACCAAGTTTACATTTTTAATTTCCTAAAGGGTACTAGTCAGAAAGACAACAAGCAACCCATCATAGGTAGATGGAAGGGATTAGCAACCCAGTCCAGGAAACGCATAAGGATTCATTCTTGGTTGGGGAGTTTCTAGGAATAACAAGTAAGACATGAAGTTCACCAGCGCTCAAAGTATAGCCTTAAATCCTTGTGTTCATCTATTGAAGAAAAGCGTCACATGCATCAAATAGCCAATGTTTCGGGGCCACGCAGGGTCCCTTCATCAGGGCAACTTGGTGATTAGGTCA